GTGCCTGCCTGTATGTCCATGGTAAACAAGTGTGGATATTCCCACTAGGACACTGTAGTTCACTGTCTCTAATCAATTTGGAGATAGCTACTCCACTAGAGAAGATGAACGAATCCAGAATGCCCAAAGTAAATCAGGAAGTTCAAATTTCAGGCCTAGGTCTCTTGCCCAACAATCTTCACCCTCTTACCATTCTAGTGTGTCATACTTACAGTAACTTCTCCTGCATATGTTCAAGTACACTCATTGCTTCCATATATTTTCTCCTTTGGTTCACTGTACCTTGACTAACTACTTCTCTCTGACAAATGAAATAAGTGATAAAAGTGAGTGTTCCAACAAGTAATATGCTACTTCTTTAGGATGTTCTTTCTGGTGTTAAGAATATTCAATAAGAAAAAAAGAATATTCAATCATTTACTTACGCAAAGAGACTATCAGAAAAAAAGAACATTTTAAAAGGCTTGATCCAGAACGTCCTAAAAATAAAAAACACCCCAAAACTCATGTTGTGGAGTCAGAACCAACTCATAGCTGACCCTCCAGTTGGTGTTTAGAGACTCTGAATTGGATGGAGGAAACTATGCATCTTTCCTTCTGTGGAGCCACTGGTGGATTCAAATCGCAAAAGAGGAGCTAACTCTGAGTTAGCAGCATAACTCTACCTTCAGCTCCAAAGGTGGTGCCTCTCTGGCAGTTCAAATCCACCAGCAGCTCTATAGGAGAAAAACAGATGGGCAATCTCCTCCCCTGTGATTTACAGGCTCAAAAAAACTTGCTGGAGAGTCAGTCATGAGTTGGTTCTGATTCCATGGGAATGACTTTTTAAAAAATTTTTTTATTATTAATTTCAATGAAAATTTATAGAGACTTTGGATTTCCATTCATTCATTGTTGCACTTTTCTCCCTACCCACCCGTCCCCTTCTGTGCTCATTTTTCAACTGGATTATTTACCTTTATCTTGCTGTGGTTTTCAAGTATTTTATAAATTCTAGATATAAGTCCCTTGTCTGACATGTCATTACCAAATACTTTTTCCCCAGTCTGTGGCTTCCCTTTTTTACCCTGTTGGAGAAGTGTTTGGATGTGCATAGGGATTTGATTGTTAGAAGGTCCCATTCATCCATTTTATCTTCTCCTGGTTGTAGATTTTTCAGTATACTTGGAAGACTGTTTATGTTGTGGATTAGGACTACTAGGGTTCGTCCAAGTTTTTCTTTAATGAAGCTTATAGTCCTTGGTTTGAGTCCTAGGTCCATGATCCACCTTGAGTTTGTTTTCGTATATGGAGTGAGGTGTGGATCTTGCTTGAGTCTTCTGCAGCTAATTTTTCAATTTTGCCAACAACATTTGTTAAAAAGGCTGTCATTTCCCCACTTAATTGAGTTTATCTCCTTGTCAAAATCACTTGACCATAGGTAGATGGGCTGATTTCTGGGTTCTCAATTCTATGCCATTGATCTATGTGTCTGTCATTGTACCAGTACCATGCTGTCTTAACCACCATGGCAGTGTAGTAGAATTTTAAATCAGAGTGAGATGCCTCCTACCTTTTTTTCTATTTTTAAGGAGTGCTTTGCTTATTAGGGGCTTCTTTCCTTTCCAAATGAAACTGGAGATTACCTTTTCCATCTTGTTGAAGAATGGGATTGGAATTTGTACTGGGATTGCTTTGAATGTGTAAATTGCCTTTGGTAGTATTGCCATTTTCACAATATTGAGTCTTCCTATCCATGAGCAAGGGATATTCTTCCACTTTTCCAGGTCTTTTTTTGTTTCTTGTGGTAATGTTTTGTAATTTTCTTTGAAAAGATCCTTTGTGCGTCTGGTGAGATTTACTTCCAAGTATTTAATCTGGTGATTAGCTATTGTGAAGGGTATTGTTTTTCTTAGCTCCAGTCTGTATTCTCTTTGTCGCTGTAGAGAAATCCAGCTGATTTTTGTATGTTGATCTTGTATCCTGCTACTTTGCTGAATTGGTCAACTATGTCCAATAGTTTTCTTGCTGAGTTGTTAGGGTTTTCTAAGTATACTATCATATCATCTGCATAGAGAGATAATTTTACTTCCTCTTTGCCAATCTGGATACCTCTTATTTCCTTCTCTTGTCTTATTGCTATTTAAGGATGTTTTGAGTCTACCTTTTTAGAATATTATTTTTCCTTTGATACATATTTATCTGTTGTTGTTGTTAAGAGCTGTCGAATCGCAGGAGATTCATAGCGACCGTATGAAGGAGAGTCCTCAACGCTTGGGTGTCTTTTGTCCTCTCTCCAGGTTCATAGGCTTTCCGGAGGCAAGCTATTTACGGAAGTGGATGTCACTCCTGCTTCCAAGCTTCTTTCAACCGGGGAGCACCACCAAACATTGTCCACCATGGATAACTGTTATCACATTTTAGACACATCAGTGTCACAGTGTTCAGCTTCACAGTGACCACAAGTTACCTCTGTATGGCAAGTGGACATATCAGGGCTATATGACCTAGAAGAATGTTTGACCCAAAACAATTTAAAACAGGCCTTGGGGCCACAGATTCAATATAGGCACATAATAAAAAATTAATCAAATAAAATAGAATTTCTTTGACTTATTTTGACATTAGATATATTTTTGGTTATCAGTGCAACATACCACAGGCTACACTACCAGAGATACCTGACACTAGATATATTCCATTGCCAAGAAAAAGAAATAATAGAAGAAAAAAGTGAGTGGAAGGTGAATAGAAAAAGAGTTCAGAAACTACAAGTTTGTTGTTGTTTGTTGTTATGTGCCATCAAGTCACTTGCAACTCATACCGACCCTATGTACAACAGCCCTAAACTCCGCTCTGTCCTGTGCCAATCGCACTGTCTCCGACACTCCCATCCCAATTATCCCAATCACTGAATCAATCCACATCATAGAGAGCCTTCCTCTCCTGCGCTGTCCCTCCACCCTCCCAAGCATGATGTCCCTCTCCAAGGACGGGTCTCTCCTCACAACATGTCCAAAGTATGTTAGACGGGACCTCAGAATCCTTGCCTCCAAGGAGCCACCCGGTTTAACCCTCTCTAGGATGAACCTGTTTGTTTTCTTATCAGTCCATGGTACATACAATATCTTCTCCAGCACCACAGCTCAAAGGCATTAATTTTTCTATCCTCCCTAGTCATTGTCCAATTCTCTGATGCATAACAAGTGATTGCAAAGACCATGGCCTGTATCAGATGCACCTTAGTCTCCAGAGTGACACCATTGCTCTTCAGCACTTTGAAGCGGTCCCTAACAGCAGACTTTCCCATAGCAAAACATCTTTTCATTTCTTGGCTACTGGTGCCAAGAGTGTTGACTGTGGAGCCAAGCAAACTAAAGCTGTGAACAATCTCAATCTCTTCACCATCCATCCCGATGTTGCTACTACATCATCATCATTATTATTTTATTCTATTTTTCCAGAAGTACTTTAAAAATCCCTTTTCTTTCCATGTTTCTCAAACAGGCAAGTAAAAAGTAAATTCCACATTATAGATATATAGGGATACTGAAGTGTTGGCAACTCAGCAGAATCACCTTATAGGAAAACCCTTTTCTAGGCCTCCTCATTCTCAGTCACAAGTGCCATTGTACCATGGCACTTTCTTTTCCAAAATAAAAATATTTTTTCACATTTACTCCCATATTTCTTATTTCCAAGTCACATACTGGGTTTTTTCCCCTTTCTATCTTGCTTTCCCGGTTTTGGATAATTTGTCTGTAAATACCATTGTTGTTTTAATCTAATCAAGCAGCATGCGACATGAATGTGCCTATATAGCACATGCTACTAACTTGTTCTCTGAATATAAAAGAAAAAAATTTTAAAGAAGGTTCCAGAATTACAAAGTCATACATTTTACAGCTTTATGAAACAAATATAAGTAGAACCCTTGGTAAACCAGGATTATACACTGTTTTCTGTATAAATTTGAGCCTTTTAACTCTTCATTAGTCCAACAGCTATATACTTAGTTAGAATGTACACATTTTTGTTCTGATACTGGCAAGTATAAATACTTTGTGGCCCATTCCAGAGCCTTCAGAGGCAATTCCTACAATCTGAAATACTAGGTATTAGTCTTCTAACATAACATTAATCTATGTAGTCTGCCAGGTGGCACCCATCCAAGCACATTCATATTTTTTATCTCAGACAAGTTCAAAGGCACTTCTTTATCTCAACACCAGATTTCTAAATATCAACTTTGTCCCCAATATTGTTGCCATCAAGTCGACTCATAGTGAGTGAACCTATGAACAACAGATCTGAACCATGTCCTATCCTGTGCCATCTTCATCATCTCTGACATACTAGAACCCATTGTTTCAGTCACTATGTCACCCTTTCTCATTAAGGTTTTCTTCCCCTCCTCCACTGACCTCCACCTTTCCAAGCATGACGTCATTTTTCAAGGACTGGCCTTTCCTAATAACATGCCCAAAGTATGTGAGAGACAATTTTACTATCCATGCCTCTAAGGAGCACCTTGGTTCTATCTTTTCCAAGCCATATTTCTCTGTCCTCTTGGCAGTCCATGAGATATTCAGCACTCTTCTCTAACATCACAACTCAAAAGCATTGATTCTTTTTCTGTCATCCTTAGTCACTGCTCAACTTTCAGCTGCATAGCAAGTAATTGAAAAGATTATGGTTTGGATCAGGTCCACTTTAGTCTTCAAACTGAAATCATTGCTCTTCAAAACTTTGAAGGAATCCTTGACTGCAGACTTTCCTAACACAATATATCTTTTGATTTCCTGCTTGTTGGTGCCAAAAATGTTGACTGTGGATCCAAGCAAGATAAAATCATTGACAATGCTTTCTTGATGTTGAGATGTAACCTATATTGAAATCTATAGTCTTTGATCCTCTCCAAGTGTTTCAAGTCATCCTCATTTTCAGCAAGAAAGGTTGTGTCATCTGCATAATGCAGGTTGTTGATGAATCTTCCTCTGATTCGGATGGCTCAACACAATTGTTAGCATTGTTTGTTTGAGCATCTGATGATTCCATTCCACCTGTGCAATACTACAACCACCATTATGTCCGGCTAAGATTAACACCAAACTATTTATGAGAAGTTTCAGATCAATGTAATCCCAAATGCTTAACCTGCTGTTTAAGTCCATAGTTTCCACTTAACAGCTCTAGCTGTGGCTCATGTCCTCGATTCCTCTAAAGCCTGTGGTTTTGGTGATTTGCCAGGTCTTCCAAAGACCCAGACCCATCAGGGGAATGACTCATGTGACTGTAGGTATGCACGACAGGGCTTTTTGT